CTGAATGAACCCCGTGTTGGCCCCCGCCTCCCTGAGCTTCTTAATCTTAATCGTCCTCCCTCTGGCCTTGTCCCACCTGTCCCGAGTGATCTGAACCCTCCGTAGGGGCCCCATCACCGCGTCGGTGCCGAGGTTCCTTGCATGGTCCACCTTGCTTTCCTTCGGGAGGTCCCACAGGGGCTGCAAGGCCTCATTCAAGTCCGAGTCGCTAGTCATGTACTTCGACTTTTCCGAGACGGGGAGCTCGAGCTCCGAGAAACTGGACAACAGGGACTGCACACCTGCGGCGAGCTGCGGTGCAATGAGCTGCTGCGGACCAACAATCTGCAGCGCGATATCGTCTATCACGTTACGGATGCACAACTGCGGCCGGCCAGACTGCGCGGCCGAGAGCGGCGACAACAAAAGCAACTTCGTAAGCGTGGTAGCTGCTGAGCACCCTGCAATAACTGCCCCATTACCTTGCACCTTCCTAGATACCGCCCCTCCATAGTGCAGCATCCTATCCCCTGCATAAATCACACACAACCCTCGCAGGAGCTTCAAATTGAAACCATGCTGGCACGCCGCACGATACAAGTCCATATGGTCGATGTGCTCATAGAACTTCTTAAGGTCCAGAAGCACCGTCGCCGCCGAGGTCCCCAGGACTTTCCCGAAATGGGCCAGCATGTTGTGGACCCATCCTGCTCGCTCACAGGTAGACGTGGCCCCGACGCCCCAGAAGAAGGCCTGCTCGTGGGCCTGTTCCCAGGTACGGCAGATGTTTTGACGGCACTTCGACCAGATCTTGGTGAACATGCACAATAATCCTATCGGGCGTACTCCACCATCTGGCTTGTCGAGGAAGATGATATTCGTCAAAAACTCTGCAATCACACAGGGTCGATCCTCGAACGAGCGAAGGACGTCGATAACACGCAATTGATACTCTTCTGGAAGAAACAAGATCTGGCGGGGATGGAAGGAGTCCCACCCAAGACCAGCCCCTTCCCCATACGAGTTACACACACGTCTCAACTGTTCCAGAGAGATAGGTGGCAATTCTTGTCCCAACACATCCCAATGAGCTGGGTGATTTTTGCTGAGCCTGCCTTCTTTGTGCCAGAGGGGAAGCCACTGATCTAGAAGCTGGAGGAGCGCGAGCTCACCGTTGACTGGTAAGCGGCCGTGGTCGTCTACGACACTGAACGGGACCGTCCTGTCTGCGCGAGAAACCCTGGAATATGCATGCGCTGCCTTCCCTCCCCGCTGCACTGACGACTTAGCCCACTCCTTCCACTCCGATAGGGACTCCTTGGCGTCCGACTTTCGCAGGCCTTCTACATACTCTCGTAACTGCCCGAACAGCCCTTCTAACTCATCTCTGAGCCCCATGGATATCCCTTCGACTAGGCTGACCAAAAATCGGACATTCGTGCCTTCGTCTGGCGCCTCCAGCGCCGAGATCATCCCGAACAGGGCGGCGCACCATTCTTGAAAAAGACCGCGAGCTCTGGCGCCTAGCATATCTGGGCCAACTGCAGCTGCTCGACGAGCCAACGCCTCGAAGGACATCCAACTGGTGGTCCGCTTTGAATATCTTCTCCTAGACTCTCGGTCCCAAACCGTCTCGAGGGGAACCTTAGTGACTTTAGGACCCCCAGCTCTTCCACACGTCCTGGCCACGCTAGCACTGTCTAGGTCGTGGAACTGCACGAGCCAGCCCTCGGCCTGGGTGAACCATTCCCTGACCATGGACCCCAAACAGTGTGAGCCTCCTCCAACTTCCCAAGACCACGTGCTTTCCGTAGGGAGCCTCCGAGGACCCACAAGCTTGTCCAAGGGGAACTGCGCATATCTAACCTGCTTCGGGACAACCGTCGACGGGGCCAGGTTCTTGACAACGATACCCACAGGCATATGAGGCCACGAGGGGGCTGCAGGGAACGCCAGGACCTCCTTGACGCAGTGCCCCAAACACCTGGACCCCACGAAGAAATCGATCTCCCGCTCATCCTTCCTGTCGACCTCCTCCTCGGGCCCTGAACTGGATCCTGGAGCGGGCCCTGATCGACACGTAGCGTGGCCCGTCGTAAACATACATCCCCCAACCTTGGACACCCATTCCGATGCTTCGAGTTCCTCAGGAGTGAGGTTCCAGTCCCCTTGCACGATCCAGAGGCAGGTGAGGGACTTGATGTACTCTCCGAGAGTGTTCAATACCTCAACATTGTCCCCTGCGACTCCAATGCTGGTGTAGAGGTAGACCGAGAAGACCATCAACCCGCCTGGAAGTCCTACGTTGATGTGCCTGCTTGCCACTCGCGACTTGAAAGGTTCCAACTCGGGTGGCCTTGGCACACTAGAGGACGCCAGAGAGCTGGCCACTGCCAAGCCTACTCCTGCCGAGGACTGCGTCGGACCTGGCCCAGTAGACGCTGCTGGTCCTAGAGAAAAAGCGAAGGAGCGGCGATCACCCCAGCCGTAAGCGGAGTCAAACTTACCCTTCTCCTTCAGCCGAGTCTCTTGCACGCAGATCACATGCGGCTTGACTGGTTCGCCTGAAGCCGACACCACCCCGAAGAGGTTCGCTTCTTGGTCCCTGCACCAGTCAACCACATTAGTGAACGAGTCCCACGTGTTCGCATTCACTCCAAAAATGATCAGATCGCTGACGATCGTGACCGCGTGGCCGACTCCTCGAACCACGCCGTCCTGACATAGTTTTCCCTTTTTGCGTCCATCGCCAGGTGGGGACGAGAGATGGTGTAGCCCTTTCCGCTCAGAGGGCAAGTCTCCTTGGGCACCGTCGGGGCTAGCTTGACACACCGCTGCCCCTGCCGCAGGTGGAGGCAGACCGCCACATCCTTCCGTGAAATCGCCCAGGCCTCCACCGAGAACACAGGGCCCATCACTTCCAGATGCGACGCAAGCCTGCAACGCACCATGCCCATGAACAGGTGGGGAGGAGAGGTGGCGCGGGCCTTTCCGCCCCACTGATGCGCCTCCAGACGTCCTGGTACTTCCTCTCGACGTAGTGCCCGAAGACGCGGGAGCCGCCGACCCCGCGGTGGTACCCGAAGTAGATGTGGACTCGCGGGGAAGGCCCCCAGCCCCGTTGCGACCGAGGGGTCCCACCTCGCGCGACATAAGAGACAGTGATGCTATCGGGGTCGAGGTCGACCCAGAAGGCGATGTCCCTGGCCCTGACCCTCTTCGAGGGTCCTCGACCCGAGGGGGGGCAGCTCCGCGAGACCGTCCGTCTCTGTCCGAAGCTCCGTGGCCCAGGCGAGGCCACTGCCTTGGGTCCAGACCGACCCCGTCGAACTGGCGGAACAGCTCCGTGTCGAAGACGAGGTCGTCCCTCCGCACTGGGACTGCAAAACCCGTCGCCTGCTCCCAGTCGAAGTCAATCATGTTGCCCCTGGTGAACGCGTCGAGGTCGGCCATGCCGAAGCCCGCCCTCGCCGCTGGCACGGGGGCACTGGTCGCCACTGGGTCTGCATCAACCCGCTCTCTGCCGTCACCCTCGACGCGCCTTCTTGGCCGTGTGCTCGGCGAGCAGCTTGGCCACGGCTGCAGACGTGTCCCCCTCGCCGTCCATGGCACGCTTGAGGGACTCCTGGAAATCGGCCTCCAGGAAGTCGGACTCGTCCATGGGGACGGCCTGGTGCTCACCTCCATCCCCAGGGGCATCCTCTGCCTGGCTCCCAGCATCAGCACCATGATCGCCAGGAGGGCCTGGGCGAACGTCCTCATCCTCGGCCGCCTGCTTGGCTGCCTCCGCCGCCGCAGCCGCCTTGCGCTGCAGCTCTTCGAGGACAGCAAGGGCGTCCTTGCCTTCCTGCGTGGACAGCACCGCAGGTTCCAGCCCCGCCGTGAGCACCTTGAGAGGGTTCTCGTGCTCTCCTGCCTGGAGCTTCGCCAGCACTCCTCGGGCGGCGACGAGGTCCGCCTTGGCCTGGTCGATCCCCTTCTGGATGCCGTCCAACTCCTCGTCGAGGGCTGCCCTCTGCTCGTTGATGTCAACGCAGCGGGCCTCTGCCTTCTGGATCTTCTTCTTGAGGTTCTCCACCTTCCACCAGGCCGACATGGTGGTGGGCGGCTTGGGCGGCGCCGCAGCCTTGGTCTGCGCTGCCGCCAAGACCGCAGCATGGGCGTCCTCAAGGCCCTCACTCTTGAGGAACTCCGCCACCAGCTCATGAGAGAGCCCTGCAGCAGCCGCTGGCGCCACGCCCTTGGCCTTCGGCGGACCGCCTCCAGCAGGGCCCTGCCCCTTGCCACTGCCCTTCGCCTTGGCGCCCGCTGGCTGCTCGTGCCAAGGGGGCGCTGGCGGCGCCGGCTTGCCGCTGAGCTCCGCCACCTTGACACGCAGCTCCTGGATGAGCCTCGCCTGCTCGGCCGCGACTGCCCCTCCTGGCGGCCCATCGGCCCAGGCTCCCTGAGCACGTTGCTTGACCGAAAACGAGGGGCTCTTGGCAGCCGCTGCAGCTCTGCGCGCCGCCTGGACCACCTTCGCGGGTGCCGATGCCCCGCAGCTCCTGCACTTGACTCGATTCGCCCAGTTGTTCCAGCAGCCGCAAGAGCACCCCCAGTAGGGGGTGCGCGCGCCTGGCAGCACATCGGGCTGTGGAACCATGCGCCGCTCGCGGTGCGGTCGCTGGCTCCTCTCCGTGAAAGACCGAAAGGATGGCTCGCAAGCGCGAGCCGCTCTGAAGAACGCGCTTGCAAGCTCAGGCCACAACAGCCTGAGCCAGAACGGCTAGGAGGAGGAGGAGGAGGAGGAGGAGGAGGAGGAGGAGGAGGAGGAGGAGGAGGTCGAAGGACGGGGAGGAGGGATGCGGGGGGGCGCGCCCCCTTCCCCGGGGGAATTCTGCGCCCCTGACCCATTTTGTGATGGCCCCGCAACCCGACGACGGCCATGCGGCGGCCGAGATGGAGGGACAACGCCGGCCTTGACATGAAAAGGGGGCATCGCATCGGAGATTTGGGTGCGTAGTCGGCGCTTTCACTGCCAGGGCGGCGGCGCACCAGAGGCCACCGCCTTCCGCCTTTCCGTGCCCGACGCCTACGACGAGGAGGATTCCGCTGGCCCCTTGCAGCCGCGCGCCGCCAGCGCTCTCGGCGGCGAGTTGTACACCGGACAGTGGAACGAGCGGGTTCCAAATTGCGCCATGACGGAAACAGGTCCTGAGAGAAACGTTGCATTTTTGTTGGCCCCCTTCCTGCCCCCTTCTCCTCCTCCTCCTCCCTCACTCCCCGTCCTCAGTCCCAATTCGTCGTCTCTCTCCCTCCTCTTCCCCGTTCTCCTCCGCCATCCCGCTTCCTTATAAAACAGCTCCTCCTTGTCGCATCCCGAGGCGTGTCAGTAGGTCGGGCGGAGTGTTTCGCCTGATACGCCCTCACCATCTATGATCCTGAAGGGCGTGCCGTTTTCAACATGTTTCTCTCGCTTTAACGCCGCGCGCATTCGTCTCAAAAGTCTGCAACAGTTTACAGGGTGGAGGGCGGCTCGTTTTCAACATGTGCCTCTCGCTCAACGCCACAGTTTCAAAGGTTCGTATGGTTGAGGTCACATGAAAGGCATCCTGGGCCAATTTAGCGTTGCTGGGGCGCAACAAGTGTGTTGATTCGCAGTGTTGAAGTCCTAGGACTGATACGCATCCTGGCACTCTTTAGTAACTTCGCGGAGCAACAGTCACGTTGATTCGCGGCGTTGACGTCATAGGAAAAGTGCTATGGCACGATTGAGGATTCTCAGGCGGTTGTCCTCCAATTGGGGCACTACCCGCAGTCAACCTTAATTTCTGTAAGGACCCATGGCGAGAGAACCTGGAGGGAGCCTGTCTCGTAACATCATTGATGCGTCTTGGGGCTACTCTGGTCCCGTCCGCCTCAGACGAGGACGCTCGCTTCCCCTCCTCCTGGCCCTCCGAGAGCAGACTACTACGACCAATTAGTATTATTGCTACGACCGCGACTCTTGTTATTATTCATCTTCTTCTTCTTCTTCTTATTATTAGTAGTAGTAGTAGTAGTACTAGTAGTGGTAGTAGTAGCAGTAGTAGTAGTGGTAGTAGTAGTAGTGGTAGTAGTAGTAGTAGAAGTAGTAGTAGTAGTAGTAGTAGTAGTAGTAGTAGTAGTAGTAGTAGTCGTTAGTTAGTTAGTTAGTTTGTTAGTTAGTTAGTTAGGTAGGTAGGTAGGTAGGTAGGTAGGTAGTTAGTTAGTAGTAGTTAGTAGTAGTAGTAGTAGTAGTAGTAGTAGTAGTAGTGTAGTAGTAGTAGTAGTAGTAGTAGAGTAGTAGTAGTAGTGTAGTAGTAGTAGTAGTAGTAGTAGTAGTAGTAGTAGTAGTAGAAGTAGAAGTAGTAGTAGTAGAAGTAGCAGTAGTAGTAGTAGTAGTAGTAGTAGTCGTAATCGTAGTCGTAGTAGTAGTAGTAGTAGTATAGTAGTAGGAAGAAGGAGGAGGGAGGAGGGAGGAGGAGGAGGAGGAGGAGGAGGAGGGGAGAGGAGGAGTATAGTAGTAGTAGTAGTAGTCGTCGTCGTATAGTAGTGTAGTAGTAGTAGTAGTAGTAGTAGTAGTAGTAGGAGTAGTAATAGAGTAGTAGTAGTAGTTAGTCAGTAGTAGTAGTAGTAGTAGTAGTAGGAGTAGTAGTAGTAGTAGTAGTAGTAGTAGTAGTAGTCGTAGATAGTAGTAGTAGTAGTAGTAGTAGTAGTAAGTAGTAGTAGTAGTAGTAGTAGTAGTAGTCGTAGTAGTCGTAGTAGTAGTATAGTCGTCGTAGTAGTAGTAGTAGTAGTAGTAGTAATAGTAGTAGTAGTAGTAGTAGTAGTAGTCGTCGTAGTAGTAGCAGTTGTAGTAGTAGTAGTAGCTGTAGCAGCAGCAGCAGCAGCAGCAGTAGTAGTAGTAGTAGCCGTCGCAGTCGTAGTACTACTACGGTTACTACCATTCCTTACTATCATGACGACTACTACTACTACTACTGCGCCTACTACTTGGCTGCTACTTCTACTACCAATAGTAGTAGTAGTAGTAGTAGTAGTAGTAGTCGTAGTAGTAGTCTCGTAGTAGTAGTAGTAGTAGTAGTAGTCGTAGTAGTAGTAGTAGTAGTAGTCGTCGTAGTAGAAGTAGTAGTAGTAGTAGTAGTAGTAGTAGCAGGAGTTGTGGTAGTAGTAGTAGCAATTACAATAGTGGTAGTAGATGCATGATTACTAGTACTACTATTATTACTACTAGCACTAGTACTAGTACTACTACTACTACTGATCTTATTCTACTAGTGGTACTAACACTAATACTATTATTACGGTTGTACGAGTGCTACAACATCTACTCCTACTAGTACTATGCTACTACCACTACCACCACCACTACTAGTAGTACTGCTACTACGGTTCCGAATACTACTACGATTACCACTACGACTACGATTACGTTCACGACTGCTACGAGTCTTACGACGACTACGACTACTACGACCATTTATTATTTGTGCGGCTGCTAGTACGAATGCGACTACGAATACTCTACCACCACCTACCACCACAACCACTACCACTGGTACGACCGCGTCTCCTATCACTACCATGTTAGTGCGATCGCAAGTCTTAGTATGTTTTACTACTTCTGTCACTACTATCTCTAATGCCACTACCGCTACTACTACTACTACTACTACTACTACTACTACTGCTACTGCTACTGCTACTGCTACTGCTACTGCTACCACCACTACCACTATTTTTACCATCGCTACTACTACAACTGATACTACGGCTACCATGATCGTAATTACTACTACGACGAGTACCCCGACTCCGACTTTTCCTACTATTTCTACTCCTCCTCCTCCTACTACTACTACTACGACTACGACTACTACTACTACTACTACTACTACTACTACTACTACTACTACTACTACTACTACTACTACTACTACTTGTACTACTACTACTACTACAACTACTACTACTACAACAACTACTACTACTACTACTACTACTACTACTACTACTACTACTACTACTACTACTACTACTACTACTACTACTGCAACTACTACTACTACTACTTACGCAGGACGAAAGATTTTCCTCTTGAGGTGAAAATGGCCATGAGGATTTCGCGAGAAAACGTCGGCGCCGCCGCACGGGCGGCGACCAGACGTGCTGTTTGCAGTATCCGGGGTGAGAGGGATGTATGTATTCATGGTGAATGGGGCCCGCTCGCGCGGGGAGTTGATGGGAGTGCGCGAGACGACGCAGCGCCCATCGTGGAAAGTTATGTACCGAAACCCCCTTCCCCTGTAGAATCTTAACACGGGTGGTTTGCGGGGTCCGTGGATCCGATTTCTTCCGGCTCCCTGGTTTAATTTAGTGATATAAATTTAAAACAGGGTAGAAATCGGATCCGCCGTGAAAAATAGGACCGACAACGGATCCAACAAATTCGAAATCGGATCCGCGCGGACGGAAATCGGATCCACTGAAACACAAACAAAAACCAAAATTGGACCCGCGCGAACTTCATTGGATCCGACGGCGGGTATTTCACACGCGTCTGCTTCAGACTTCAAACCTTCGCTCCGGGCCCAAGAGGAAACAACTTTCGTCCTGGGGATGTGCGTTTTGGCCTTCGGACATGTTGGTTGCCACGTTGTCCACGCACCACACCTCACCACAAGTTCCCCGCAACGTGCAGTCAGGAATTCCTGCTCGAGACGTCCTTGCAACATCCGGAAAAAGAATCCCGCGCGTTGATTGGAGTTCTCGTTCGGGACGTCCTTGCAAAAGCTTGCGCTTTGGATTCGGAGTCGTGGTGGGCCACGCCGGAGCCCGCCAACCAGGGGAAGGCTCCTTTTTTTCTAGCGTTACGCTGGCTTCCAGATTCCAGATCGTGCAGGGGCATGCCAGCGCCCACAACGTAGCAGGAGCCTTTCCTGTCCACGATATTGCACGCGTGGGAGGCGGAAAGGAGAACGAGGAGGAGGGAGGAGGTAGAGGAGGTGGAGGTGGGGCTCCCGCCTGAGAGCGCAGAGGCCGCCCGTTGGGTCAGGAGACGCAGGGCCGAACCGCACCGAGCGTTTTGGCCTTCGGACATGCTGGTTGCCACGTTGTCCACGCACCACACCTCACCACAAGTTCCCCGCAACGTGCAGTCAGGAATTCCTGCTCGAGACCTCCTCGCAACACCCGGAAAGAGAACCCCGCGCGTTGATTGGAGTTCTCGTTCGGGACGTCCTTGCAAAAGCTTGCGCTTTGGATTCGGAGTCGTGGTGGGCCACGCCGGATCCCGCCAACCAGGGGGAGGCTTCTTTTTTTTCTAGCGTTGCGCTGGCCTCCAGACCGTGCTGGGGCATGCCAGCGCCCACAACGTAGCAGGAGCCTTTCCCGTCCACGATATTGCACGCGTGGGAGGCGGAAAGGAGAACGAGGAGGAGGGAGGAGGTAGAGGAGGTGGAGGTGGGGCTCCCGCCTGAGAGCGCAGAGGCCGTCCGTTGGGTCAGGAGACGCAGGGCTGAGCGTTTTGGCCTTCGGACATGTTGGTTGCCACGTTGTCCCCGCACCACACCTCACCACAAGTTCCCCGCAACGTGCAGTCAGGAGTTCCTGCTCGAGACGTCCTCGCAACACCTGGAAAAAAAAACCCGCGCGTTGATTGGAGTTCTCGTTCGGGACGTCCTTGCAAAAGCTTGCGCTTTGGATTCGGAGTCGTGGTGGGCCACGCCGGAGCCCGCCAACCAGGGGGAGGCTTCTTTTTTTTTTCTAGCGTTGCGCTGGCCTCCAGATCGCGCAGGGGCATGCCAGCGCCCACAACGTAGCAGGAGCCTTTCCTGTCCACGATATTGCACGCGTGGGGGGCGGAAAGGAGAACGAGGAGGAGGGAGGAGGTAGAGGAGGTGGAGGAGGTGGGGCTCCCGCCTGAGAGCGCAGAGGCCGTCCGTTGGGTCAGGTGACGACGGGCCGAACCGCACTTACGCAGGACGAAAGATTTTCCTCTTGAGGTGAAAATGGCCATGAGGATTTCGCGAGATAACGTCGGCGCCGCCGCACGGACTGCGACTAGACGTGCTGTTTGCAGCATCCGGGGTGAGAGGGATGTATGTATTCATGTTGAATGGGGCCCGCTCGCGCGGGGAGTTGATGGGAGTGCGCGAG